CTTCCTAACTGTTAGAGCAGTACAACAGTGGAACCAGTTACCTCAGGAGTTGGTGAGTGGAGGGAAAAACTTGGATAATCACCTGGCAGATCTGCTTTGATTATATTCCTGCACTGAGCAGGGGGTCGGACTTAATGTCCTTATAGGCCCCTTCCAACTTCACTTTTCTATGATTCTATAGAATCCAGATAGGCAGAACTGTTTTCTGTCAGCGTTTAGCTGGAAAGCACTATAAATTAGAGGAAAGGCATAGGATCTGACATATTGTCTAGAGGCTTTGCGATTCTTGGTTTCACACACCTGTCCTTATTTTGTTTATCTCAGCACCTAATGACTACATTCTTGGAAAGAAAATTCACAATGCTCTACCAACATTCACGAGGAACCTAGGAAGGGAAAAACAGCTACTTGGGCCCAATTTAGACAGTCACTTAGGGGTGTACTCACTTTTGTTGCCAGCGTTTTAGACATGAATGGTTGTGTGTTGCGTTATTTTGAGGGGACAGCACATTTACGTTGTTATATAAGCTGTATACTCACTGCTTTACATTGTAACCAAGTGTCATTTCTTCAGTGTTGTCACATGAAAAGATATACTAAGATATTTATGAAATGTGAGTGGGTGTACTCACTTCTGTGATATAGACATACTATTTGTGTAATGTCTAAAATAAAATATAATATTGACGTGCTAGCTCTGGTTATTGGCTTTTTTCTTTCTTTCAGTTTTTGGGAGTTATCTGATAGTCACTTTAAATACCCCATTGTGGAGCAGTATTTGAAAACAAAGAAAGGTTCCAAGAACTTACTCCTCAGGTACATATTTTGCCGTTTGTTGACACTGACAATTATTGTCTTGGCTTGTATTTACCTGGGCTACTACATCAGTCTGTCCTCTGTGACCGATGAGTTTATATGCAACATCAAAACTGGGATCTTAAAGAATGACACAACGGTTCCTGAACGGTTCCAGTGCAAACTGATCGCTGTGGGGATCTTCCAGCTACTCAGTTATATCAATTTCATTGTCTACTTCTTCCTCCTGCCCCTTGTGATTTATGCCTTGCTGGTACCATACAGGCAGAGCTCAGATATCCTCCAAGTGTACGAGCTTCTGCCGACCTTTGATGTTCTCAAAGTCAAAACGAAGAGCTATGACGATTTAAGTCTCTACCTCCTCTTCCTCGAAGAAAACGTCAGCGAGCTTAAATCTTACAAGTGCCTCAAAGTTCTGGAGAACCTGAAAGGCAACGGAGAGAAATTCGATGCCATGCAGTTGTTGATGAATCTTGGCTCAATTAAAACAGATGCCACAGATAGCAAGTCAAAGGGGAAGAAGACGGAAGCTGAAACAGCAAACAATGAGGCAGAATTACAAGGTAAAACTGTTTTTATTTAATTTAACCTTTATTCATATATTGCTCATAAAATTAATCATAGCCATTTAGAAATAGTTAAAATACCATGCCCAAAGAGCTTGAAAATGTTAACTTGCTTGAAATGTAACTCTCAAGAATTCCTCAGGCAGCATGACCTTGCTGGTTCTGGGACTTAAAGTCCAAAAAGGTTGACTTTGACACGTTCTATATATTAACACAATGGTCAAAATTATATTGTTTAGTATAGTAAATCACATTAGAGTAGGCATACTGAATCAGTGGGGATTTGGTGAGTCAGCTCCTCTGCAAGGCCAAAAAAATGTATAGTTTATTACAATACTGTGGTGACAACATGCCAGCATCACACTAAATCAGTAGAAGCAGCTACATTTTGCTTAATGTAGTGTTTGGCATTAGAAATCCTGGATCAGACACACATGAGAACCAAATTTTCATAATCAGCAGACTGATCCTGGGTGTACTCAACTGGAAAATAAGCTGTATTTAATTTTGTGTAACTTGCTCCAGATGAAATATGCAAACCATGAAGAATTAGATTCATACTTCCTCATACTTTGGATAATCTCAAGGAGGTTTAAATTTACTTGCTAGACCCAACTAGAGCAGGCCCACTGAATCAGTACGGTTTGTATAAGTGTTGACTAGGGATGGGGGTATTTGTATACGAATATAAATATCCCCACACAGGTGGCGATAACGAGGGTCCAGCCCCATGGGGCCGGCTGGTCCACTCACCGATCTGCCGCTGCCACAGATGCTGCAATTCTTTCAATGGCTCTTCAGTGCACGATCTGCGATGCTGCAATTCTTCCAATGGCTCTGCAGTGCACGATCTGAGAGCCATTCTTTGACCTTGCAGCGAGGCTTGTGCTCCCTCCTCCTGCCAGGAGTGGCGAGCCGAACGCACGCTACAGAGCCATTGGAAGAATCATGGCATCCTCGGAAGATCAGTGAGTGGACCGTCCGGCCCCATGGGGCTGGACCCTCGTTATCGCCACCTGTGCGGAGATATTCGTATAATATCAAATACCCCCATCTCTAGTGTTGGCCTATCATTCAGCAACTGATTCAGTAGATCTACTTTAACTGGGAGTAGAATTTGGCCAATGAACTTAAATTGGTCTTGACTGAATTAAGTCCTACTGATTTCACCGCATCTTCTCTAAGTATAAATAAAACCAGCCACTGAATGGAGCACTATAAACTGTCATACAGATCTCATCCACTTGTGTATATCCGTTCTCTCTCTCTCTCTCTTTATTTTATTATTATTATTTTTCTGGATTCACACACTAAAGTGCTGCTGTCACAGCCTGGCTACTCATAATTTAATTGGGCAGGTTCTTATGATTCCCAGTTTGAAGACCTAGAAACTCTGTTTCAAATATATCCAGATCACAATATATTTAAATACTGTTCAAGAACAACACAGCCGTTCTTGGTTGCATCTGAAGAGTAACAAAACATTTTCCCTGTCCTGTTGCTTTATCATCTTCAGATCTGACAGGAACCACGTTGCCTGCTGATGGAGCAAAAACAAGTAAAGAAGATGGCAAACTTCGTCAGAGACTTCTGGATTCTTCTTGCTGATCCCCTGGTTAATGATTACTCAGCTATGAGGATTCCTCCCAGTGCAAGCCATGTTGAACATGGGGCAATTATCTTCTTGCGCAAGGGCAGGACAAGGAGCATATCATAGTTTATAAGCTTTGTATGTGACCATGTTTACGTAACTACCTAGCCTTCTCCGCTTAAAGGCGTACTGTTGAGCTGTTTTATACTAATTTTGTTTTTTAGAGAGACAGTAGGGAGAAAGTGCAAGTTTATCCTGGAAACAGGATACAGAGAAACATACTGTAAGATGTAATTAGGCCTGAAGGGAAAGTTGAGAGTCAGTTGGGGTGGTTTCCCCTCCTTGGTTGATTCTAGCAGGTCTGTCGTTCTGTTCTCTTCTGATGACTTTCTATGGTCATGAAGGTGGTTTACCTAGAGTCAGCTTCATCTGTTATACTCCGGGTGTGCTGACTGCTCTGATTTCTCCAAATGTGGGAGACTCAACTGCATAATTTGTGGTGCCTTCGTGATTATGATCATCTCCTCTGACAAGTGAACGGAAGGATAGCTCTACCAGATCAGGCCAAAGCCCTCTTTAGTCCAGCATCCTACTTCCACAGTGGCCAACCAGTTTCCTGTGTGAAAGCACCAGCAGGACAGGAGGGTAATAGTGTTTCTCCAGAACTTGTATTGAACAGCTCATGGGCTTGTGTGTGCTATGTGCCAACAAGAGGCATTTGACTGACACTGACTCTTACAGAATTTTCAAGATTTTTAAGGGATAGTTTTAGCCAACAGGGATTTGAACTGAGGTCTCATGAATCCTGGTTTGTCACTCTATCCACTACACCACTCTGGCTTCCATACTGAAAAGTATAGCGGTACTGGAGATTATACATTTGTATCTATCATAGTTTGGAGTAACCTTATCCTGAATTACTTATCATTGTTGTTGTTCCTTTTTATGCCTCTTTCCCACCAGACTATGCTCAAAAGAGTGCATAGTCTTGTCAGTTCAACAAAAAAAATGTGATAAGGACAATTAGAAAGAACCATAGGCCAGATCCTATTAGCTAGTTGCACCAGAATAAACACAGTGGCATAAACTGTTGCAACAAATTGCCAGTAGTTAACAAGTCGCTGTTTGTATCCCTCATCATTTGCCTGTTGGGTGGGTGGGTGAGTGACAAGGAATAAAAGGCAGCAACTCATTAATTAGGGGCAATTTGGCATTGCAGTTTATGGCATTGCACTTATGTCAGTGTTACCAACCGGTAGGACCGTGGGCAAAAGTGTAAATAAGTGACTACATCATGAAAGACAATTATGTATGAAAACACTGAAAATAAACAGACTTAATACACATTTAAAACTAAACAGGAGATGCATTACTAACACAGAAATGAAAATACTCTACCCTCCAAAGCCAAGCGGATCTTCATTCCACAAAAGTAAATATTAGGCTGCCCACAGATGATTTAATCACACTGATTGGCAGTCACTCCTCTCACAGCCTTCCTTTCACTCAAAGGATGGGTCTCCACAGTCTTAAGTCCCAGTTTCTGAAATAAGGAGGGAAATTCTAAGGCCTAAAATCCATTATCCATCCCAGCAAGATCAGACCCATTGAATAAATTGCTAACTAAGACAGCGCTTACTTAAACCACATTGATTCAGTGGGTCTTTTCTAGTTGGGACAAGCTAAGTCAATTTAGGCCTGACATGTCTTCTTTAAATCCCACAGGTCCTCATGAATGTCAGTGTCTGTCTCTCCCCCTCCCTGTGCCAGTCTTGTCTTGGAGATAAAAGGCTGCTTGGAACCAGGATGACACGAGACAGCCCGAAACGCTCTCTGATGTTCACCTGATTTCTCTGATGTTCAGTTCACACTTGATTTCTCTGCACTTTGAAATTTAAGTTATCAGACATCAGCACTGTTGAGCACTCTACTGAAATTAGATCTGTTTCAGTGGCTTGGAAGAATGCATGGGGTATAAGTAGATGGTGGGGAGATCCTAGTTTGTTTCTTTTTTAAGATAAACTGCCTTTCACTATGCTGCATGATCATTGGAAAGCAAGCCTGAAAACAAATTGTCTTTTTTTGAAAGCTAGGTCTTTCTTGAAACTAGTACACTTACCTGGTAAAATATAAACCACTAATTTTTTTCTACACGATTGCTATTATTATGTAGCATAGGGAAATGGGGTACTATGAGAAGAAAGTAGACAATGAAGCAGGTTTGAATTTTGTTAGGCTCTTAAGCAGCTGAAATTATCATGTATTGTGATTTTTTTCTACACGATTGCTATTATTATGTAGCATAGGGAAATGGGGTACTATGAGAAGAAAGTAGACAATGAAGCAGGTTTGAATTTTGTTAGACTCTTAACTAAAGCAGCTGAAATTATCATGTATTGTTAGACAATGAAGCAGGTTTGAATTTTGTTAGGCTCTTAAGCAGCTGAAATTATCATGTATTGTGAGCTTTGAGCCAACCCTATTTCAATGTTGTTTGGGAATTGTTCTTTTTGGAATGGAGAAGTAATCATAGCATGTATTTGTCATTTTTTAAAAAATTAAGATGCATGACCTATCATTGGTATGTACTCCCATCTGAGTTTATGGGTGACTTGCCTGAATCAAGACTCAGGAGCAAGGATACTGTCTGCAAACGATGTATAGTTAAACTCACGTACTGTAGCTGCTTTTTAAAACTGCAAGGTCAGTTCTAGCAATCCATGGACATGTCACTATCTCAGCAGCTCCCTTTTGGGGCACCTAGTTTGAAGAATGAGAGCCACACAGGTACAAAGTATGCATGTAAGCTTGTAATATTTATAGTGTAAATCATAAGCAGAAAGGAGCTTGAAAACCACAAACTTGTGGTTAGATGAATACATTTACCTTCTGATGCAAATATTTTCAAACTGGCAATATTCCCACTTGTGCTCAAAGGAAAGCTGCGAGGACAGTGAGAAGCTCGGAGACCACATTCTGAAAGCAAAGGCTGAAGGAGTTCAATATGTTTAGCCTGAATAAGATAGGATTAAAAAGCTGCATGATAGCCATCTCTGAAACTTGGAAGGAATGCTATACAGATGTGGACCACACTTGTTTTCTGTAGCTTCCCTAAAGTCTTGAATGAACAGATTCAAATTATAGTAAAGAGAATTTACACTGCAGAGCCAGAGTAAGGAGTTCAAATACCCAGGAGAGAGGTCAGCCAAGACTGCCCAGATGTAGTGCGAAAACAGAAAGCTGCACGCTTCTAATGATGGTCAGAGACATAAGGAAGAGCACCCTGAAGGTACAAGGTGTTTGACGGGAGAAGAGACTGCTTCAGAATGTTTTGGGCTCTCCTTTTGTTAAAACTTTAAAACAGAGGCTGAGATACTGCTGGAGCTACTATAGCAGCCAATTTGATGTAAAATCAGAGGGTGAATTAGATCAGGATGCTGTGAGAAGGGGGTGGAGCCAGGAGCAGCGAAAGCAGAAAGAAAAGGGGGCTCCCCAGAAGACTTGTTTTATACCATGAATCTGGACTCCCTCAATCAAACTGAGGGGGGGCTGTGTGTGCCAGGAGAAGGCCACCCCAGGTCGTAGGGGAGCTGAGAGACCCAGGGAGGAGTGGATGAGCAATCCCCTTGAGCTGAGAGACCCTGGGAGGAGTGGACGACCAATCCCCTTTGAGGACTCGCCTCCTCAGACAGAGGATTCCTCGGGCGCCATCTTTTAATGGCATTTTTAGCTCCGTGGGAGGACATCAAGACTTGCACCTCCGGAGGACCCTGGAAGTTCCCGGACAGAAAAGTGAGTTATTGAACTGAGCGAAGGCCCAAGATTTATATTCAATGCGAGGAAGAACAAATGCCTGGGAATTAAGATGAGCACAGAGGACCACGTTTATCTTTCTGTTATGTTTTCCACAAGCGCTGCTCTGTCCGCAGAAAGGGAGGGGTAGAGTAAGCAGCTTACAATCAGAGGTCTTAAGAAAAATAAAAGAATTCCAGACGGCAAGGAAACGGGAGAGATTTTTTGCTCAGGGGAGGAAAGTCTTTGAAAGAGCAACTGAGAAGGCACAGCATTGGGGGAAATGAAGGGGGGTGTCTTGAACAAACAAACTCTATAAGTTTAACAAGCCTTGTCCTTCAACCCCTACTGAGTACTGCTGCTTCACATAGTTGACCTGAGGGCAATAAAGAATCCTCCTGAGAGAAGAGACAGTTTAATTGCTTAACAGTTTTATTTTGCCTGGAGACTGTTAAAATAGAATGAGGAGGGGAGACTTTCTGCTTCTACATCTCCTCTGACAACGTAAAGAAAGAAGCTTGTTTCTGGTCTTTAATAAAGGCAAAGCCGGCAGCAGTTTATTCTCAGGGATTTCACTCAAGAGACACACAGAAAAGACATACTGTATTTGGAATATATTTGAAGGCGTTTAAGAAGGCTTTTGGGTCACCACCCATCTGAACGCGAAGAGTGGCTTTGTTTTTTCTTTAGTAGACTGAAACTTACTAGACAGTGTTGCCACGAAGAAAATACAAAGCAAGAGTCAAGACTATTTCCCCAGGGCTGAGGTCATCTAGTGGCTGGGTGGAAACTATACCAGAGCTTTGTAATTTGGAATACCTTTTTATTTTTCCTTTAGCAGGCTGAAATTTTCCAGACAATGTGCTCTGCTTTGTGGGCAGAGAGACTATAAAGCAAGAGCTAAGGCTATTCTGTCACGCTGAGGACCTCTAGTAGTTGGCTGAATAATTGTATTTAGAGCTTTGTATTTTGGAGTATGCTTTTGGTTTCTGTTTTAATAATCCTGTTAATGCTGTTAGTGCTGTGTGGAGGCAAAAAAAGAGGAGGTCTTTGCTGGTAATAAGAAAGGGGGAAATTCTTTAGGAATTGTGAAAGGGAGCAACATGACTTCGAGATCCGAAAAGGAAGACTCACCAGGCTATGGAGCTCCTGGGACTGACAAACTAATGAATCAAGACCTCTTTAAAAACGCACTGCAGGAGATGGAAGCAAACATCATTAAAGAGCTTTCAGACCAGATACAGGATCTAAGAAGAGATGTTGAAAGCATCACTCAAAAGATAGACTCATTTACACAGATGCATGGTATGGGAAATAGAAGGAGGAATCACATTTTATGGAACACATTGTGAGAAAGGCACTATGCCCAGTGTGGCAAAAATTACAAGCACAAACTTAAAAGAAAATCCCAACATGGGTAGTTCCTATAAAAGCATTTACTTTGAAAGTGCTGAATCAGAAAGGAGCGCTACTAACATGTAAAAAATTACTTAATAAAGAACAAAACATAAAAAGCAGGCAAGAGCTAGAGGAACTAGGGGTGTCAACAGAAGGTTGCAAGTTGTGGCCCTTGGCTTTTACTGATGCAGCCTGTAGAAATGTGTGGACCGCCCTCCACTCTCTCTGCCCTGCTCACCAGAACTGTGAGTAAGCAATTGGTTCCAGGATTGCTACAGCAGTCTAGACACCGTGATTTTAAGGGGTGCGAAGAGGCTTCTTATTAGAGATGTGCAGACTTTGGGGGTTACATCTCCTGGGGAATTCTGAGAGATGTAACCCCAAACCTTCCACTAACCTGCTAAGTTCTGCTTCTGGCTCTCGATTTACTGTGACCTCACAGTTTAGATAACTAGAGAAGGAGCGAGGGTGTTACTTCTCTCAGTCCCCAGTAACCCTGCCTGCAAGATTGTGAGAATTGAATCAGCATCTATGATAGAATTAAAAGCATCCTTAGCCTTACATTTTGCCTTTAACACTGAATCGTGGTGATGGTTTTCCCTTACATTTTGCCTTTAACACTGAATCGTCTTTTTTTAGAAACCATGGAAAACTCAGTAGTTATTTAGGCAAGTGTACGATTTTGAGCATAGGGCGATTGTGTAAACATTTCCCCAATCTTGGAGTGATCCTCCCTGCATCATGTAGCGGGTCATGCAACCGGTTGCACAACCAGCCTCATGAGCAGCGTGAGACCATGCGTGCAAAAAAGAGTGACACGTAATTGTGTAAACATTTCCCCAATCTTGGAGTAATCCTCCCTGCATCATGTAGCTGGTCATGCAACCGGTTGCACAACCAGTCTCACGAGCAGCGTGATGAGACCATGCATGCAAAAAAGAGTGACACGTGTCACATAGTGAAATAGGATCCCTAATTGTTTGGAAGGAACTTCTGCAAAATTCTTGCATTTCTTCCTTCCCATTGGGATTCGGGAGGGATCTCAGTTCAGCAGTAAAGCATGCCGTATAGAGTGAGAAGGTCTGAAGTTCCTGATGTTATCTCTTGTTTAAGGATGCCAGAAGAACCTTGGTCTGAGACCCACTCAAAGAGTAGGCAAAACTAGACTTTGGATACGTTTCTTTTTGGAACTACAAGTCCCAGAATCCACCAACCAACATTGCCAGTGGCCATTTATTAGAAATGCAAGGAATAGTTAAAGGGGAATGTAGCAATATGAGGTATTACTGGGATTATATTTTAATGGAATGTTTAACTGCAGTGTGGCAGTGGTAAAGCATTAGTCTTCGAATGTGTAACAGTATTAATGCTTTGTTTAAGTGGACTGTATTACTGTATATTACTGTAATTGTATTTAATGCTTGTCAGATTCAACTACTTTGTGGTCCTGTTTCTCATACTTTCTGTTTTGAAACTTTGCCAGTGCTCCGCCTTCTTGATCTAGGTGAAAAGTAGGAAATGCAGGGCCCTCTGAATATTTTAGAATACAACTCCCATCACCCCCCCAACCAGGAAGGCCAGAGGACTGCATGAAAGAAATAGTGGTCACCATAGGTAGAGAATGTCCATTTTTTAAAATCCCTAATTTTTTTTTTGCTTTGGCACAAGAGCTCCTGGGCTCATTTTTGCAACAACCCATGCAAACAAGAGGAGCTACGTCGGTCTCTGTAGATTACTCTTGGATCACCTCTTTTTTTGCATGCAGAAGGTACTCGGCTTTACCTTGCTTTCAGTCAATTCCTTTGTTCAGTTCCCAGCAGCTCCAGAGCTTGAGTTACTTTATTGGACAACAACTTCAGGACTCTTCCATGCTAGTAGAAGGATTCTTATTGTCCAAAAAGCTATCTTTCCAAGCATTAGGTATGTCCAGTTAAAAACGTATCATGTGGGAGGTGATTGGGGGAAAATATTTGCCTGGAACTGTGGAGGCAATCGGAAGAGACCGCATGGAAGAAATAATATGACTTGGGATAAGGGTACTTTGTTCCTTGCCAGTCCTTCTTATCAAAGCAGCAATGCTGGGCCTGTCTGCGACGATACAACATGTTGGCCGCACCCTCCATTCACTCAAGGTACTAGCTGTGATGCTCTTGTCTTCCTAAAGAGCACTTAGCACTGGGTCAGAGAGTTTGACAGGCCACTTACCTACTACCTTCACGCTAAGACCTCAGCAGTGCATAGTGTAAGCCCCTTGAACAAGTCTGACCTTAAAAGAACACTTTACTCTTACCCAGTACTTTGCAAGTACAGACACATGGGCTTTGTGATTCCTTAGAACTCACAACATCTCAGTTAGGTA